CCCCCCCCCCCCAGCCCCTAAGAAAACCCACCCACCCACCTGCGGGGATGCCGAGCACGCAAGGCGAAGGAGAGGAGGAGGAGGAGGAGGAGGAGAGAGAAGCTGGCAAGGCCCCCCCCGCACCCCTTAAGGGACCCTGGGCCAAGCCCCCCCCCCGCCAGCAAGCCCCCCCCCACCCCCGCGCGGCCAGGGCGTTGCAACCGCCGAAGCGGCTTCTCGCGCGGAGCCGCTGCAGCTGCCGGCACCGTTTTCGGGGAGGAGACTCGGGGAAGGGCCGGCCCGCCTCCCCTCCCGCCTTCTGCTCTCCGGCCCGCCCGGTTGCAGCCATGGAGCAACCGCTGCTGCTGACGCTGACGCTGCTGGCCGGCCTGGGCACCGGCTTGGCCGAGCACCGGCCCGACTACGACCGCGAGGCGCTGCTGGGCGGCCAGGTGGGGACCCGGGGACTCCAGGACCCATCCTCCACCGGCTGGGAGGGGGGAAAGAGGAGGGGGCGCAAGGAGCCGGGGTGGGGGTGGGGGGTTGCAGGAAGGGAGAAACACCCCCCCCCGGGGGGAGAGAGGGAGGGGGATTGCTCCGGAAGAGACCCCCCCCTTCCCTTTAGGTAGCCCACCTGTAATTGGGGGGGGGGGCGGAGCAATTGCTCTGCAGGTGAAGGCCAGGTGTGACCCCCCCCCAAGTGCCAAGGGGTGCTTGCTGGCCCTTGACGGGGAGGTGCGGGGGGGCAACTAGCTGGTGGCAGGGGGGGGCACAGCTCGGCTTCCCTGCTAAAAAAACGGGGGGGGGGCGAGAGGGGGAGAGAGAGAGGGGAAAGGGGGGGGAAAGAGAGAGAGAGAAGGAAAGAGAGAGAAAGAGAAAGAGAAAAAGAGGGAGGGGACAGAAAGAAGGGAAGAGGAAGAAAGAGATAGGAAAAGGAGAAAGAACAAGAGTGGGAGGGAGAGAAAGAGAGAAGGAAAGAAGAAAAAGGAGAAAGAAAGAGGAAAAAGAGGGAGGGACAAAAAGAAGGAAAGAGGAAGAGATAGCAAAAGGAGAAAGAAAGAGGGAGAGAAAGAATTAAAGGAGAAATAAAGAGAGGAAGAGAGAGGAAGAAAAAGAGGAAGAAGGGAAGAGAAAAACGAGAGAAAAATAAAAAAAGGGAGAGGAAGAAAGAAAAAGGAGAAAAAGAGAGGGAGTGGGTGATATATATATATATATATACATATATACATATATATACATATATGTGTGTGTGTGTGTGTGTGTGTGTGTGTGTGTGTGTATATATGTACATATATGTATATGTTTTCTGAGGTTCTCGCGGGTATTTATATGTGGATCTTTGGTTGTTCGGGTTTTCTCCCGCGTAAGATTCGAAGTATCTAGGCAACGTTTCGATGAAGTCTCATTCATCATCTTCAGGCTTGTGTCTCCGGCTCTGTGCTTCTCAGAGTGATGTGAGATTGCAGCTGCTTCTTCCTTTTAACTGCTAGTGGGGGTGGGACTTGATTGGGTGGGGGCTTGGCTGTGTTCTGATTGGGTGGGGGTGTGTTCTCATTGGTAGGGGGTTTGGTTGTGTTCTGATTGGTTGGGGGGTTAGCCGTGTTCTGATTGGTTGGAGGCGTGTTCTGTTCAGGTGGGGGCTTGGTTGTGCTCCGGTTAGTCTTAGTTGCTGGGGGATTTGAGCTGGTGAGTTGTGATCTTGCTGTTTGGCTTCTAGTTCGTGGTCCTGTTGCATCTTCATAGTGGGTGTGAGCCATACATGAAGCAAACCGACACCCACTATGAAGATGCAACAGGACCACGAACTAGAAGCCAAACAGCAAGATCACAACTCACCAGCTCAA